CACCAATACACTTTTAGTTAATTAAGAAGACTCAATTCTAGCATGCTAGGTCGGCTAAGAGCGTATTAGCATTAGGATTTACCTTTTCAGTTATTGATAGTTTTAAATAATAAAAATAAAAGTAAACAGGCTTTCAAGTACTCTGTGATAAATTTGCAGGCTTAAAAATATAACRAAGATAGTTTTAGTGAATTGACTGAGAATTTAAAATGATTAGAAGCTAGCAAGCTAGGTAGCCTAAGCACAATTTAGCTACTGGCAATGAATAACTGCTAGAGTTGACCCCTGGAGTTCATTTTTGTATAAAAAAATAATTTAAAAATAATTTTTACATTTTTTGACATACTTACAGGCTGATATTATCAACAATATATAAAATCAATAAACAAAAAATTTAAAGGTCTAACTAGCTAGTATACGTTGGAGGCGATTTCAGCTATCAAGCTATAAATTAACAGGCAGGATTTACATTATTATGGTCAATTTAATTTAAAATCCTAAAATACRCTTTTAAAAATACAACATAAATATTTTCATAAATTCGTTGTAAAAATCTAAATGGCTAAACCAATTAATTTTATTCTATTATATGTCACTGAGCTAAACCTAGCACCCTATACGCTATGAGCTAAGAGGCTACAAACAAACCTTTTGAAATAATGATAGTTTAATTTAAAAGGGGTGGGGGGTGAAAGACACCTCTATTTTGGTGACATATTTAAAGACTTTAAACAAAATGTAGTGTTTTCTAATTAATTGCTTGTAAAATTAAGCATGCTACAGACTAGGTTAGGTAGGCTGAGCAAATTAGCATGATAAGCTAGATTAGATTGAGCTGTGGACATTCAGTCATTGTTATTTTAAACTATTTTACACAAAAGTAACTGCAATAAAAAATTAACATATTGCAATAAAAAATAACATATTTATACAAAATCGGGATCAGTCTTTGACAAAATGGCTACAATCTTTGAAATAGCTAAAGATGTGATGTGCAGATTGTCCTGCACTGTGTTAGACTGCATCAAAGACATGTTTAAAACCACAGGCTTGACACAGAAATGTAGCAATATTAGGCTAATTTTCAAACAGGAAACTTGTTGATAAAACTCTTAAAAATTATATATCTCTGCATTTTGCTGTTGATGCCATTACCTACAGGCGGGCCTCAAGCAATGCCTCTGAATGGAGCTAATTTGCATCTTCAAAYTCGACAGGTCAGTGAAGGCAACACGTTGCTGTAGCTCTAGTCCWACGCTGAGAAAAAAGTTTAAAAAAAAAACACTGGAAAAAGTTTAATGAAAGTCTAAAAAAAAAACGGTTTGACTTAAACGTTTTAGTTTATTGTAGCTAAGCAATGTTTACATACCATTATAAAACGGAGGTTTTAGCAAACACTAAAGTAGATTTAACACAATAGAGGAAGAACGCGGAACTACTACTACACAAAGCATGGTTAGTCAACTCATTTCCTACTGGGGCTGCTGTTTTAAGGTTCCCGCACACTGCCATTTTGTTCTTCTCATATATTTATCATCCTCATCTGGACGCATCGATTTTACATTCATATCATATTTTTTGGCGGGACTGATAATATATGCCGTTAAAAAACAAGTTGTGATCGTCTGATGTACTTTTCTGCCACGTGTCTGCTCGGACCCGGTTCTTCCTCTGTGATGTCCGTGAAACCAGCTGTTATTACAGGTCAGGCTACATTTATAAACATATATAAACGACAAAGTCTGTAATAAGAGGAGTGGGGGAACACTTACTGTAGTTGTCTTTCTCTGAAAGAAAAAATTCTTGGATACTGTGGGTTAAAAACTCGAGTTTCACAATTTTTTTTCTTTTCTTTTTTTTCTTTTTTTTCTTTAGTCCAAATAAATAGTTGGATCCAGAAGTGATGACTCTAAGCTCTTGTTTCTGGTTGAGGATGGTCTTTAGCTCCTTTCAACCCTCTTCTTGTCCCTCTCTGAGTTCATCAACCCGTCTCCTCTGCCTTTTTTGACTTCCAGCTCCCCCTCCTCCTACAACTGGGTGGAGAAAAGTCACCTCCCTCTGCTCCACCAAAAATGTACTGAGCTCTCAATCTACACTCACATCCTGTGACGCTGTGGGGTGTATAAKCCAAATGCTTACTTTGTTTAGCTTTTCATTTCTTCAATTTCCACACCTTCCAATGATTGCCTAAAGTCCTTTTTTTTTTCAAGTTTGTCAGGAATCTGAAAGAAAATGTTGCATTTTAGTTTTAGTTGTTTTAGTTTTATTCCCTAAACATGACCAAGTAGTGCCTAAACCTAACCAAAGCATGACTGACAGTTTAATTTGTTTATTTAACCAGGCAAATCCCATTAAGATAAGGGAGAAGTGGCTGGACCTGTGAGAAAAAAACTCCAGAGAAAAGCCCACATAAGCACAAGGAAAACTCCACTCTGGGACCACAGATCTGCAGGGATTGAACCCAGGTGAGGCAATAGTGCATATCAAAGGGATAGTCTGGTCATTTTGAAGTGATGTTCTGCCAACTATCAATAGTTAGTACTTTAGTGTCATAAGATCTTTAAAAAGATATAGGCAAAATCCACTTTTTTAACCTTTAAATGCATTTATTTATTTATTTATTTATTTATTTATTTATTTATTTATTTATTTATTTATTTA